TAGTCATATATTTAACGATAATTGTCTAACTACTGAAGAACTTTTACATCCTCTGATTTCAACCTTCCTCACAATGTCAATATAATATACTTTTGGCACGAAACGGTCAACTATAACCATGATCTAAGTTTTGGATCTTGTCTTATAATATAGACTTAACTATCTATAAAAGAAATGTGTGAAACACTACTAGCATATCTATTATTATTATTACTATTTTTTTTTTTGTTTTTTGAGAAGGTAAGTTCATAAAATATTGATACGTTTTATATTCGTAAAGAAAAATAAAATAAAATTAGCTTATAACATCATATTTTAATATAACATTATGYGCATATGTACGAATATTTAATAATGTTTTAGATAATTAGTATTATTGCGAGTTGTGAGTTTAAAAATTCATTTTAAAATAAAATACATTATATTTAACATTTTAAAATTGTGTTAGGTATGTTGAGTCTATGAGTTTTGAAAACTGATCGACATTGTATAATGTCATAATAATAATAAATTATATTATGAATGTTAGATTTAAAAAAAAATCTAGATTTAATTTATATTTTACTTTTGCGATGAGATTATTTGTCAACTTCGTAATTATGTTAAGTTATATTCATATTTWTTGCATGAAAAACTACAAAATATRGTAAATTGGTTTCACTTTCAGGTACCTATCTAGGTATTTCTATAAAAACCAGCCTCTTACACTATACGTTACATAGTTCGGTCGTCATTCACATTTGTTATATAATTATTATTATATATTATATTTTAATACTAAAAGGAATTTTTTAGGATTAAATTGTAATATAATTTATACAGTTTAAAATTTATATTGATATTTAAAGTAATTTATTCAGCTGTCATTTAAATGTACATTATATTAGATGTATAATGGTATATCAATGAGTAGTTTACTGTCACGGTTAAAACTTAAAAGGTTAAATCACAAATGTAATGTCAGATATTTATTATTGAAAAAAAACACTTAAATATTTTGACATTTATATTTTAATATATATTTATATATATCATTTTTTTTTAAGTAGAAAAATTATGATTGTATTAAGGTATTGATATTCCGTATTAACGTAATGTATTGTGGAACGAAAACAATT